TTGGGCGGGGGACAGCGCCGGGGGGAAGGGGCAGCGTCTGGAGGGGGGGACAACATCGGGGGAGGGGACAGCATTTGGAGGGGGACAGCATCGGGGGAGACAGCGTCTGGCGGGGGGGACAGTGGCAGGGGAAAGGGACAGCGTCTGGCAGGGAGACAGCGTCTGGAGAGGGGGACAGTGTCGGGGGGGGGACGCGAGCAGTGACCCCGGGCCCCACCCCCAAGCCTCCCTCTGTGCCCCCCAGGATTCCACCCCCAGATCCTCACCCCCAAATTGCCTTCTATCATCCCCCACCCCGGGTGCATCTGTACCTTCTCCAGCAGCGCGTTCTGCCACAGACGGAAGATCAGCATGAAGCAGCGATCACGGGCTCCAAATGAGGTGAAGAAATGCTGGGGGGAGGGGGAAGTGAGACCCGACCCCTGGCTCTCCTGGTGCCCCTCACTCCCGACCCGCAGCCCCTGCTAGCCCAGCCCTGGGCTCCCCCTCTCCGCAGCTCTGCTGGTGCCCCTCACTCCTGACCAGCAGCCCCTGCCAGCCCAGCTCTGGGCTCCCCCACACCTGTCCCACTCCTTCCCACAAGGAGGCCCAGCAGGGCACTGATGCTGCTCAGACAGTGGCCTCCAGCTGCCAGGAAACCCCCCTCACCCCAGGCCCCATCTCAGAGTGACCCGGGAGAGGCCAGACTCAAGTGTCCCTGGGGCAGCACTTCTGTGAGGGGAAGGGATGGGGGTTACTCTCTTGGCGCTCCCCAGCCCTGCCTCTTGCGGATCAGGGGGTCCCCACCTGACCCCTCCTCGGGTGAGGATGCCAGCACCCACACAGAGCGGCAGGCAGGACCTGTCCCCTCTCCCTGTGGGGCTGCCCCCAGGGGACCCACCCGGCTGTCTCTGTGTCTACCCTGCATCGGGCAGGGGCACCTGGGACGCCATAGTCCTGCTGGGAGGGGCTGTGCGGAGGCTGGACAGGGGTATGGGGCTGCCCCCCAAGGAGAGGGGCCCAGGGTGGGGGGAGCCCCGGCCCCATCTCACCTTGTCGGCCGCAGTGCAGACCTGGATGGCATTGGGAATCAGCTTGGCCATCTTCTCCTTCTTCAGGCATTTCACCTCCCGCAGCGGGACAGAGATCTGCAGGGGGCAGCAGTCAGGGGGCAGCGTGGCAGGAGGGGCAGGGTTGGGGGGAGGTAAAAGAGAAGCTGGAGGTGGCCCAGGGCAGCAGTGGGAGGGGCAGGAGGTGCCTGGGGAGAAAGGGAAGCTGGAGGCGGCCCAGGGGAGCAGTGGGAGGGGCAGGGAGTACCTGGAGGGAAGCTGGCAGCCCAGGGGAGCAGTGGGAGGGGCAGGGAGTACCTGGGGGGGCGGGAAGCTGGAGGCACCCAGGGCAGCAGTGGGAGGGGCATAAGGGCACCTGGGGGGAAGGGAAGCTGGACAGGAGGAACAGAGTTGGGGGGGGTGGTAAAAGGGAAGCTGGAGGTAGCCCAGGGCAGCAGTGGGAGGGGCAGGGAGGTGCCTGAGAGGGGAGAAGCTGGAAGCGGCCCGGGGCAGCAGTGGGAGGGGCATAAGGGCACCTGGGGGGAAGGGAAGCTGGGTAGGAGGGGCAGGGTGGGGGTGTAAAAGGGAAGCTGGAGGTGGCCCAGGGTAGCAGGGAAGTGATGAAGTGGGAATTTTCTTAATGTTTTGTATGAATACTGTGTGTGCGCCTCAGTTTCCCTTATGTGTCACATAAGTATCTAGGTGGTGATCATTGCAAAGTCCCCTAGGGGCAGGTGTGACTGCCAACTGGCTGCCTGGGCCCAGACAATGGCCAGACATTCTGTATCCTGGCAACTGATGACCAGGACCATCCTCTGCAAGAGCCAGCTGCGAGGAGTTGGAGAAAAGCAAGAGGTGGAGGCCAGGTGACCAGTTTGCCCAGGAAAAAGACAAAGGATGGAGGAGGGCAGCTGGGTGTAACTGAGGCTGGGCTGCTCGAAACTGGGGAGTCTCCTGGTTTTGGGACTCGGGGGAGAGCCCAGGGATCTGCGTCTCCCCCAGATGGACTCTGCTGCTCTCTGTGCTAACAAGATCTGTCCTATGCTGTGTTCCAGGTGGCTGCTAAACCGTCTGTAACACACTGGCTGACTCCCTGCTGAGTGCAGAGCTGGGTGCATGGCCCTTTGGGGCGTGAGGCTTCCCCAGGTACCTAGTCGGGCAGGCTCCCTGCAGGGAGCTCACAGGGTGAACAGGTCAGACCCAGCAGGCGCCGAAACTGAGGAGACTGACCCTGGTTACAGTGTGCCTAGACACTACTCGAGGGCCCTGGCTGAACTTCACTCAGAGCTGTCCAGAGCACCCGGACTATGCACCCGTGACAAGGAGGGGCAGGGTTCTGGGCCCCTGGGTGGAGAGGCAGAGGAGGTGGCCCAGGGCAGTGGGGACATGGCAGGGCTTGCGGTCCCCTAGGGGGATGGGAAGCTGGAGGCAGCCCAGGGCAGATGGGGCAGGGCAGAGCTCAGGGACACCGAGGGGAGAGGGGCAGTGGCCCAGGGCAGCAGGGGAGGTGCAGGATTCAGGGGCACCTGGAGGGGATGGGGGGGCAGAGGAAGCTGGCAGAGCCCAGGACAGTGTGGGGAGGTGCAGGGCTTGGGGTCCCTTGGGGAGATGGGAAGCTGGAGACAGTCCAGGGCATTAGAGGCAGGGCAGCGCTCAGGTGCAACGGGAGGGGGGAGGGGCAGCGGCCCATGGCAGCGAGGAGAGGTGCAGGGCTCGGAGGCACCTGGGGGGTGGGGCCTCAGGGTGCCCGGGGGAGGGGCAGGGGAATCTGGCAGGGCCCAGGGCAGTGGGGGAGGGGCAGGATTCAGGGGTGCCTGGGGGGCAGGAGAGCCGCAGGGCACCCAAGGGGGGGTCGGTCACTCACTGCTGTCTCCCAGCGGAAGATGTTGCTGTAGAAGCAGAGCCAGTTCTCGGACAGGTAGAGCCGCCCCTGGAGCAGGATGTCGCGCTGCAGTGCACAGGAGTAATCTGGGGAGAGGGGAGAGTCAAAGCCAGCCCAGTGGGGGGGCCTGTGGCTGAGCTAGAGGAGGGGAGGCAGGGCTGGGCTAGCAGGGGCTGCGAGTCAGGAGTGAGGGGCACTCCCAAAGCTGGCGGGGGGTAGGGCTGGGCTAGCAGGGGCTGCCAGTCAGGAGTGAGGGGCACTCCCAAAGCTGGCAGGGGGCAGGGTTGGGCTAGCAGGGGCTGCCAGTCAGGAGTGAGGGGCACTCCCAAAGCTGGCGGGGGGCAGGGCTGGGCTAGCAGGGGCTGCCAGTCAGGAGTGACGGGCACTCCCAAAGCTGGTGGGGGCAGGGCTGGGCTAGCAGGGGCTGCAGGGCAAGAGTGAGGGGCACCCGCAGAGCTGCGGGGAGAGGAGAGAGCAACACTCCCATTTGACAGCACAGGGAGCAGGCCAGATCTGTGGGGGGAAGGGAGCTGCCAGTGTGGGGGACCTGGGGAAAAGAGGGGGCAATAGGTCGTGGGGAGTGGGTACAGCAGGAGCCAGAAGGCCAAGTGCCAGCACCGCCCCCCCCAGACACACGGGGGGAGCCCCCTGAGTGAGCAGGGACTGGAGACAGGTGTGGAATAGTTGTGAAAACATCTGGGGGACGAGTGAGAAGATGGGGGGGCTCATTCCACAGCTCCCCTCCCTGCTCAGCCTGTTCCTTTGCACCCACATACCCTCCCTGCTGGCCCCTGCTGCCCCTCCCCTGTCCCACACCCCTCCACTGGCCCTGCCCCCATGCCAGCCCCACCCTAGTGCCCCTCCCCCATGGCCCGCCCTCACCCACAAGCAGCCGCTCGCTCTCCGGCAGCCCCTTGAAGATCCTGCGGAAATCCTCATTGCGCTGTTTGTACGTGGGGCTCAGCATCTGCGGGGGGATCGGGCCTGTCAGGGGTGCAGTGGGCCATGCCCCACCCTCTGATACAGCGGGGAGGGGGACACTCAGCTACATTTTTGGAGCATGCAGGGGCACCGGGCAGGGTCCCAGGGGGTCCCTGGGCCAGCCGCAGGAGGGACTCTGGGAGTGGGGGGGGTCCTGGGAGGGCAGAGTTGAGGGGGTAGGAAAGTTCTGTCCAAGTTGCCCACCCCGTCCAGCCATTGGCTGCTCCAGGAAACAAAGGGGGAGGGGTCAGGCTGTGGCTCTCCCACAGCTGAGCAGAGCTAGCAGGGAAAGGAGAGAGCTCAGAGTACCGCCTGCCCCTCCCTCAACCCCCAGCCATGCTCCTCCCCTGCCCCTCCCCACCCAACTCCACATCAGAAATCATGGGGAAGAGGGGAGCATAAACCAAGCCCCTCCCCACCCCCCTTCTTACTCCTCCCCCTCACTGCCCCCCATCTCCAGTAGGGCTGCAGTGGGGGGGGAGAGGGGAGGGAAGGTCTCTGAAGGGAGCAGGGGGGCTGGGCTCAGCCCCACGAATGGGGGCCAGGACAGACAAAGCCCAGAGAAGGGGTGAGGGGCACAGCACAGGGCTGGGGTAGCGATGGGGGGCGGGGGCTGGAGGGTGTTGTAGGGCTGGTCTGCCCCACCCCAGGGATGCACCCAGCTCTGGGCTGTGCTCAGATGGGGGAGGTCCCCAGAGTCCCTCCTGCCACCCCCTCCCACAGCTGCCAGGGTCAGAGATAGGGGCAACAGGGGGGAGGCGTAGCTGAACCCTGGGAACTGGGCAGTGTGTGGGGTGCTGGGGCCGCAGGCAGAGCTGTGGGGACTCACGCTGTACCAGCTTTGCGCTTTCTGCAAGGGAAAGAGAGAGATAGGTTAGAACAGGAGCCCCCCAGGGGTACACCCCCAAATCCTGCTCCCACCAAGACCCCCAGTCCCCTGTGGTACCCCCCAAAGCCCTGCTCTCCCAGGACCCCCAGACGCATCCCAAAACACCCACAAGCCCCCAAGTACTTGCCACCCCCACCCCGAGAGCCCTCCCCTGAGCAGGATGACCCAGGGGATATGTCCCAGATCCCCCCCAGAGGCTGGCCCCCAGGAATGGCCCCCAGAACACCCCCCAGATGCTGGCTCCCCAGGGAATACCTCCCTAGAACACCCAGGACCCCCACAGAGCCCTCAGTACTGCAATGCAGAGCTCCTCCACAGGGATCCCAACAGCCCTGGATCCAGGGAGTCCCCAAACAACCCTCAATACCCTGCAGAGCTGGGGGGCAGGGCTGGTCGAGCAGGGGCTGCAGGTTGGGATTCAGGGGCGCCGGCAGAGCTGGGGGAAACTTCCCAAGGCTGGGCTAGCAGGGCTGAATGTCGGGATTAAGGGGTACTGGTAGACCTGGGCTGGGCTAGCAGGGGCACCCAAAAAAAGTCCCCAATATCCTGGCACAACCCCCACAGACACCCACAGCCCCCCAGGATCCAGCCCCCCAGGATCCAGCCCCCCTCACCTTGTTGTTGCGGATGAAACTCCTGGCACTCAGTGGGTAGTTGAGGGGGGCAGACAAGGGGCCCCGCTCTGGGACACTCTCTGTGCTCTTTTCCACCATGGCATCTGCAGGGAGCTCTGGGGAGGTCCGGGGGGGCAGCAGTAGGCGCTTCCGCAGGGACGGAGAGCTGCTGGGGCTGCTCCGGGGGGAGGGGCTGCCTGTGCTGGGGGAAGACAGAGTGAGGGGGGCCCCATGTATTCCTCCAGCCCCCCTCCCCATTCCTCCCAGGGCCCTTCGCTCCCCTTCCCTTAGCCCTCCAGTGCCTCCCTTCATCCCCTGCTCCCCATCTCTGCCTGTGGCACACTGTACCTCAAAATAGCACCCTGTAACTCCCATAGTCATCATTCATATATAGTTGTGATATTTCATACAAAGAATGCCATGTATGAGATCATATGAAAGGTCATGATCTGCTGAAACCCCTTGTTCTGTCCAAATATGTATATTGTTAGTGTGTATGAAGTTATGAGATTGTGCTATATGGTTGTTACTGAAATATGTTCTAAGTTTGAGAGTCTGTACTATATGGTGGTGACCCCAGCCCAGGAGGGTGTTAATCGACCATTAATCAGTAGGGGGGTTGTAATCAAGTGATTTACAATTCAACAACAATTATGCAAGCACCACACCAGGGGATCGCTCAACCCTGTGACTCAGCAAAGCGCACCAGGACCTATCTGGGCAAGTGTCTTCCAGGCACATGGACTGAGGATATAAAATAGGGAACAGTGGCATCATGCTTTGGCCTTTCTCCTCCCCTGGAAGCAACAAGGACCTGAGAAGACAAAGAACTTCAGCAAAGGAGACTGGTCCCAGGTTTAAGGGAGAAACCTGTGTATTATGAATAAGGCTGCAAGTCTTTCATGGAGGTCACGAACTTCCACAGGTGCAGCGGCTGGTGCGGCTGACCCCAGGGAGGCCCGAGCAGCTGGGGCAGCCCTGGGGCCAGCTGCACCAGCCACTGCTCCGGCAGCCCCAAGCAACTGGTCCCAGGCGCTGCCCCAAGCTGCAGTCCGGGAGCAGCAGCAGTGCCCCAAGCTGCCCCTGCCAGGAGGGGTCACAGGCAACCCCACACCTCCAGCAGCAGCAGCGGCAGCAGGGCTCCGGGCCGCCCCACACCCCCAGGAGCAGCAGCAACCGCTGGAGCACCCCCACCCCAGCAGCAGCGTTGATTGGAGCACTCCGCCACCCCCCCAGTACCTAAGATTTAGTTAGGGGTATTTTTAGTAAAAGTCACGCCAAGTCACTGGCCATGACTTTTTGGTTATTGCCCATGACCTGTCTGTGACTTTTACTAAAAATACCCGTGCCTAAATTGTAGCCTTAATTATGAACTGTAACATCCAGTGGGGTGAGAAACTTGCTTGAAAATACTGCCAAGTATGATAAGGTTTAAGATTTAGGTTGTGCAGTTATTTTTATTTTCTTTGGTAACCATCTCTGTCCTTTTATGTCCACCACTTATAATCAATCTTTCTGTAGTTAATAAACCTGTTTTATATTTTACCTAAAACAGTGTGTTTTGCTTGACGTGCTTGGGAAACCTCAGCTTGGATACAAAAGCTGCTGCATGTCCTCCCCATATGGAGGGAGGAGCAAACTGGGTTATAAACTTACACTGGTCAGGCTTCTGCCCAGGGCAGGGCAGGACAGTACAGCTCAGGGGCCAAAGTCAGGGAGCCGGGAGGAACTGGCTGGTGCCTTTCGCTGTGTGATTCATGAAAGTTTCAGAGGCCTTCATGCAATCTAGCTGGGTGTGGGGCTCCACCTGCTGTTGTGCTGATTGATGGGGGGACGGGGGGCGGGTTGCTGCTGGTCATTAGCAAAGCATATTGAGAGACAGCCCAGACTGGAGAGTGAAGGGGGGGTATAGCAGTACCCCAGTTCCAGATTGTACCCTGGGGATCCCATCACCCCCCATCCCCCCAGTTCAAGACAGGGCTGTTCTTGGGGCTAAGGACTAGAAACAGGAAATGCTTCTCCCATGGGGTGACATGACTCTGATTCCAAAGGGGGCACCTGGGAATGCCTGAAATGGGGGGACAGCTCTGAGCAGAGGAGACCCCCAAGGAGGAAGAGCCACGGGTGAGGGGAGCTCATGGGTCTGACAGGGGGTAGTGCCAGCTAGAGGGGCATGGGTGTGACATGGGGTAGTGCCAGCTGGGGGGGACCTGTGGGTCTGATGGGGGGTAGTGCCAGCCGGGGGGGACGGGCTGTGGGTCTGATAGGGGGTAGTGCCAGCCCAGTGCAGTGGGACCGAGCTGGAACCAACCCACCCATCTCACAAAATGGCTATTTGTTCTCAGCTCCATCCCAACTCCACTCCCCAGTGCAGCCAAATGACTCCATTGCCCCCGTCCACTCCCAGCCCGACCCCAGCACACAGAGCCGAGGGGAAAGAGCCAATACTGCAGTGGCCGGGGCTGCAGGTCGGGAGTGGGGGGCACTGGCAGAGCTGGGGACAGGGATGAAGCTGGCCAGTGTTGCTGCCCCTAAAACATCTCTCACCCTCCCCCCTCCCTCTGCCCATCACATGCCCCCCCACCCCCACCCCCCATCGTGCCCGACACTTACTGGCCACCTGGGACTCAGCCTACTGCCAAGGGAAGCATGTGGGGGCCCTACTTCCTGGGCAGCTTCAGATCTGGTTGCTGTTGCCTCCGCCCCTCCCAACAGGTGGCCAGGGCCAGCCTGACACTGCGACAGCTGCTGGGGGCCGGTGGGTGAGTGGGAGGGGGCCTAGAACCTCCAGAAGAGCCAGGGCAGGGGGGCAGGGGCAGCATGAGACACCCACACATCCCCCCCCAGCTGGGTTCAGGCCAAGCAGGAAGGGGGTCATGGCCAGCACTGGCCCCAATGTCCCCATACAGTGCTATGGGGCGCTGTGCTGCAGGAAATGTGGCTGGGGCTTGGGGGAGGGGGTTGCTGTGGGGAGAGGACCCCCTGCTGACCTTTCCACCCCCTGCAGCACAGGCCCCCTAGTGCCAAGCTGGGACATTGGGGCTGGCGCCGTCTGCTGGGGAGAGCACCTCTGCTGAGCTCCCCGCCCCCAGCACCAAGCTGGGGCATTGGGGCTGGCACCGACTGCCAGGGAAGAGCGCCCCTTGCTGAGCCCCGGCCCCACTCCTTGGCCACCTACCAGGGTCCAGAAGGTCCTGAGATTCCCCGGCCACTGCCATCAGCTGGGCCACGCCTTTGGCTGTAGGACTCTGGTGGCTCCTAGGGGCCCAAAGTGACAGGGGTTCTGGGGCCCATCACATGCAGCAAGATGCTGCCAGTCCCAGGCCTGGCACATGGGGCCCCTGGCTGCAGGAGAATGGCTGGGCCAAGACCTGGCACCAACTGGCAGAGGGAGGTAAATATGGGGCCGATCCAGCTAGCTTGGCTGGGCTTGAGGGGCTGTCTGTCTGGCCAGTGACTGCCAGCAACCTCCGGCCCCATCTGACGTTGGGGGGAGCCCAGAGAGCATCCCTCAGCCCAAGTAGGACAGACCATGCAGGACAGCTCTGCCGGTGCACCTCACTCCCAACCCGCAGCTTCTGCCAGCCCAGCTCTGAGCAACCCCGACCCAGCTCTGCCGGTGCCCCTCATTCCCGACCCGTGGCCCCTGCTAATCCAGCTCTGGGCTACATAAATCCTGGGCCAGAAGGGACCATTGCGATTATCTAGTCTGGCCAGAGAAATTCCCCAAAATAATCCCTAGCACAGAGCTTTGAGAAGAACAGCGCCTCATGGTTTAAAAATGGCCAGTGATGGAAACATTGGAAAAATTAATTCCCCTCCCTGTTCAAATTAATGCCTCATTTCCCGTCTAAATTCATACGCTTCAACCTCCAGCCGCTGGGTCATGATTGGGGTGTCTGACTCCCCTCCCCTCCCCCCCCCCCGCAGCAAGGCCAGAGGGGAGCCTCTCCCTCTCCTGACCCTTTCCTCATTCTTGGGGCTCTTCCCAAGCCCCTCCCCAATTTATCACCATCCTCCTTGACCTGTGGGCACCACTGGACACAGGGGCCCAGCAACATCACACCAAGGCCAAACCAAGCCTCCCTGCTCTCCTGGAGATTCCCATTTGTGCACCCAGGGCTGCATGATCCGACCCAAGTCCTTTTCAGTGTCCCTGCTCCCCAGGACAGAATCCCCTGGCCTGCGCGTGTGGCCGATGCTCTTTGTTCCTAGCTGGACAGTTACATGGACTCGTATTAAATAGTCACCACCCCCTCTCTGCCAGTGCCCCTCACTCTTGACCTGCAGCCCATGCTATTCCAGCCCTGGGCTCTCCCCACTTCCACCGATGCCCCTCTACTCTGCCCTGCCATCCTGGGGAGTGTCTCTAGGAGATTATCTGGGGGCACAGAGGGAAAGGATAGATGGGCATTGCCTGTCTCAGAGCCCCTCGAGCCTGGGTTCTAATGCTGAAGGGGGCAGACACTCAGCCTGTTAAAGGGTCTGTGTCCCAGCTGGGCACAGAGATTCCTGAATGCAGGGCCCCCTGCCCTGCCTGGCCCACTGCCCTCCCAGGAATCTCCAAGAGCACAAAGCAGTCAGGACAGACACTCAAGATGCCCAGGCCCCTCACCCATCATGGGAGGGCATCAGCCCTGCCCCGATTGCTGGCCGGCACAGACCCAACGGGATGCTGGCATCCTAGCCACTGCGGGCCCCAGGCTCTCTGGGATCTGCCTGCTGCAGGCACCCATGGCCCCAGGCACTGCTTCGCAAAGAGATTCCTAGAGCAGCGATTCTCAACCAGGGCTCCCTGGGGGGCTCGAACAGGTTTCAGGGGATCCATCAAGCATGGCTGGCGTTAGACTGCTTGCTACCCCCTAATGCGGCCCTGGCTTGTATATACAGAAAACCCAATTGTGGCACTGCTGGACCATGGAGATTTTATAGCATGGGGGTGGGGGGAGGACCTCAGAAAGAAAAAGGGGGAGAACCCCGTCCTAGGGCAGCTCTGTAGTTCAGACAGCTGGCATCAAGCTGGGAGAGGGACCCAGGTGTCTGGCTCAGCTGAATGCAGGGGAAGGTGCTACAGGTGCCAGTCTCTCCACAGGGCCCATCGCTACCCAGACCCCCAGGGCTAGAGCAAATGCCAAAGGCCTGCGCCCAGCCCAAGATCCCCAGCCAGGAGCTCAGCGCAGGGCACTGGGCAGCGCCGGGCTCAAGGCCGGGCACTCGCTCAGCACAGCCTGGGAACCTGCCAGCAGGGCCGCCTGGGGGCGGGGAGGGGGGGGCAATTTGCCCTGGGCCCAGCAGGGCTGGCCGGGGGGGGGGGGGCAATTTGCCCTGGGCCCCACAGGGGCCCCCACAAGAATATAGTATTCTATAGTATTGCAAGTTTTTTAATGGAAGGGGCCCCCAAAATTGCTTTGCCCCAGGCCCCCTGAATCCTCTGGGCGGCCCTGCCTGCCAGGGAGTGGGAAGGGGGGTTCTGGCTGTTGGGGGGCTCGGAACAGAGAAGGCAGAGCAATAACAGCCCAGGAGAGAACCCAGGAGTCCTGGCTCTCAGACACCCTTCCCCACAATTCTAGAATACCAGAGCCCACTTCCTTAACCTCCATCCCCGCTCACTCCATCCCTCCCCCCACACTCCCCTCCCCCCATGCCCCCGCTAACCCCATCCCTCACCCCACACTGCCCGCTCACTCCGCCCCCCCCATTCCCCTGCTCACCCCACACTGCCCGCTCACTCCGCCCACCATCCCCCCGCTCACTCCATCCCTCACCCCACACTCCCCGCCCCCATCCCCCCGCTCACCCCACACTCCCCGCCCCCATCCCTCGCCCCTCATCCCCACCCCGGCGCCCCCTTACTCGAACATGGCCCGTGTCCCGGCCCGGCCGGCCGGCAGCCCTGCCTCCCCGCGGAGGAAGAGGAAGGAGCCAGAGGCCCGGCGGCTTCCTCCCCTCCCCCTCTCCGCGCTCCGCCCGCTGCACAAAGGGATGGGGGCTGGGCACCAGGATGCCTGGGTTCTCTCTCTGGCTCTGGAAGCGCCCCCAACCCCTTGGAAAGCAGCGGAGGCTTCCAGGAGAACCCCCCAAACCGCCTCCCGGGTGGCAGCCTCCCCCCCCCGCCCCACAACAAGCACAGGGTCACTGGGCAGCGCAGCCCCCCTGAGCGACACACCGACCCCCCCACCGGCCCTCCGGCCACGCACCGAACCCGCTCCCACCCCCGGCCATGCATCGACCCCCCCACCGGCCCCCTGGCCACGCACCTCGCCCCCCCCGGGCCACAAATCGAGCCCCCCTCCCCCGGCCCCACAACAAGCACAGGTGTCACTGGGGAGAGAAGCAGCACCCCTAGAGCCCCCCAGGCATGCACCGAGCCCCATGGCAGGGAGGGGCTGCTCTTGGGGTCTGACTCTAAAGCACCCAGTAGGGAGTGGGGCCCTCTGGGCCAGGTGCTGCCCACACCCCAGGGGCTTTGCTCCCTGCCCCCTACCACCCTGAGGCCCTGGGATGGGGGTGGGGTGCACAGCCCTGGGGAAGACAGGTGATGGCAGCACCTGGCCCAGATCAGAGGGGCCATGGGGCTCCCCCAGCCTCTGGCACCAGCTTGGCATCAGCACAGCCCTGTCCCATGGCGGCGATGCCCCCGGAACCAGGGAGGCCAGAGAAGCAGGGCTTGAATCTAGCAACACAAGTGAACCCAGCCCCTGGCACCCACCATGTCCATCTCCGCACCCCCATCCCCTGCCACCACCAGCCCTGCGCCCTCACCCCCTGCCACTGTCAGCCCCACGCCCTCAACCCTGCCGTTCCCAGTCCTGCGTACTCATCCCTTGCCACCCCTCAGCCACACGCCCTCAACCCCGACGCCCCCGGTACCACCGCCCCCAGTCCTGCACCCTCATCCCCTGCCACCCCTCAGCCCCACGCCCTTACTCCTGCTGCCCCCAATCATGTGCTCTCACCCCCTGCTATCCCCAGACACCAGCCCCGCCACCCTCAACTCCACCCCCCGTCCTACACCCTTACCCCCCCAGCCTTGCGCCCTCACTCCCTGCCAGCCCCATACCCTCAATCCCGCCACCCCAGCCCTGAGCCTTCATTCCCATCATGCCCAGTTCACTCTGTCCCCTGTGGTGTGGGCAGGGAGGTCAGTACAGAGCGGTTCCCAGGCCAGAGGGGATCCTTGTCACCATCCCGGCTGCCCCCTGCATCACATGGGGGCACTTGATGCTGGCCAGGGAAAGGGGCCACAGCTAAAGCGGGACAAACCCAGCAGGACCTAGTCTGCCCCAGGGAGGATCAGGCTGGCGTGCCTGGACCGGAGCCCCCACAGAGCCATCCCGGAGTGTCCCAGCAGGACAGCACCAGTGCCCCCAGCTCAGCCACGTCCCTGGGGCCCTGGCCTCTAGCGGCAAAGCCCCCAGGGCTGGCGGAGCTTCCACTACATTGCTCTTCAGCTGGGACCACTCTGCCAGGCAGGGGTGGAAACAATCAGTTCCAGACTAGGAAGTGTGGAGCAGGCCGGTGGCTGCCAGCGTGGCCGCTGCCTGAGTGGGTGCCTGGGTAAGACAGCTGCTGGGAGCAGCCAATGCCCCGCCAGTGAAGCTGGTACCCACACCTCGAAGGGAGAACACGGCCATGCCATGTGGGGCTTTGGATGGGACAGCACTGTGGGAAACCAGCATCCCACAGCACAGCCCACACCCAGGGAGGCCTGGCCTAGGGCTGAGCAGCCCCTGGCCCCATGGAGCCATCTCAGCTGCTGGCAACACACCTGCTGAACAGCCATCCTGCCAATGGGCAGAGGGGCTCACCACATTCACATGCTGCCATGCAGCCCACACTCACACAGTGTCCAGGAGTCACAGGTTTGGTGCTCTGGAACTGTGAAGCCAGCCCAGACTCTCCCCATCAGGGTTCTCTTACTCCAGGGCAAGAAGCTTCTGCAGCTTCAGTGCTTCCTGGATCTGACCTTGGAGCATTCAGCCCCCTGTTCACCCTGTGAGCTCCCTGCAGTGAGTCCACCCCACTAGGACACTTGGTTGAGCCTCACATGCCCCCAAAGGGACCATGCAGCCAGCTCCACAGCCACAGGAACTCAGCCAGCTTGTGACACAGAAGGTTTATTAGTCAACAGGAACACAGCATAGAACAGAGCTTGTTAGCACAGAGAGCAGGAACTTTCATCTTGGGGAAGGGCATCTAGGGCCCTGGCACCCTTTCCCCTGAGTCCCAAAACAGGAGACTGACCTTCCAGCTACCTGGCCTCCATCAGGCCCATCGCCCCTTCTCCTTCCTTTGTCTCATTCCCTGGCCAGCAGGTCACCTGGTCTCTTTGTTCTCCAACACCTCCGGCTGATTCTGGCAGAGGAGGGGGCCCAGCCATCAGTTGCCAGGCCAGACCTGCCCTCTAGGTGTCCCTGCAATGATCACACACACGTGTCCCATCAGCTAGAGATACTCAAGTATCGCATGGGGGAAACCGAGGCACACCTCAGTATTCACAAAAAACAACAACATTCCCACTTCACCACACAGTGACACACCGAACAACTACCATGCCAACAGGCAGAGGAGCCCTGCACACACACACACACACACACACACACACATGCTGCCACACACATTGTGTCTGGAGGCTCTCCGCACACACCCTGACACACTCTTACTAACACACTAAAATCCAGTTCAGGTCTCTGGGTGCCCTGCCTGTCCAGCCAGTGTGTCCCCAGTGCTCGGCTGTGAGCGATGCCCCCGTGCTGCCTGTGGGACCCAATTCTACCCCATGGCGCAAGCCCCTCCCCCAGGCTGGCTGCCTCCCACTGGCCACCCCCAACTCAGGGTCACCCTGCATATGCCTCAGCCTCACACATCTCATGGCAGCAAGGGATCTGCTAGTGGCATTGATCCATGTGGGGTAGCTTGCCCAGCACTGGGATGCAGCCACCTCTGGGGCGGGGCAGCTGGAGAACAGCAGCACAACAACACTAACTCAGGGAACGAGAATGCCATACATAGTACAAACAACACTAAGGACTGGCCAGCCTGGCAGGCCCTGCTGCAACCCGGGAGTGCTGGTCTGAGCTGCCAGGGAAACATCTGCACCTGGGAAAGAGCCCGAGGGTGTCAGTGAGTGAATTAGCCTCTCGCTCAAAGTGGGTCAGACAGTACAGCACTGGGGCCAGCTCCGACTGCCAGGGGACAGTGCCCCTTACTGAGAGCCCTGCCCTGTTCCCTGCAGCACAGCACCCCCTACTGAGCCCCACACCCCATTCCCTGCAGCACAGTGCCCCACTGAGCCCCCTGCCCCACCCCCTGCATGTCCCTGAGCCCCAGTCTGCTTCCCCCTGGGAATAGACTAGAGGGGACAATCCCCGCTCCACCAGGACCAGACCAGAGGGGAAGATGTCCCCTCCGCTCTATTCCCGAGGGGACAGTTTCCCCGCGCTCCCTCCAACCTCCTACCCCAGGGAATAGAGTGGAGGGGACAATTCTCCCCCTACCCTGGGGAATAGACCGGAGGGGATGATCCTCCCCAGGCCCAGGCGATGGGGTTGGCCGGGAGCTGTTGGGACGTCTCAGTCTATTGTCTCTCACCCTTCAGTCCCTGAAGAGACTGTGGTTCAATGTGTCCTCACCAATGGCCCCTGGGTCTATTTTCCCTCCCCAGAACCCCGGGGGGAGGGGGAGGGGTGCCCAGGGGCAATAGGAGCTGGACATGTCCCAGGCGCCTCGTCCAGTGCCCAGCAGGGAGTGAGTGGAGCCTGTGTTTGCTCTGCAATACAATCAACCCATCGGCAAACACCTCCTGAGATTACCCGACCCTTATCAGCCTGGCACGGGCAGCACACACCGTGCTGGCACCGGCTCAGCCACACCCAGCTCCATGGGCACGGTGCCAAGGCACTCGGCTCTCTGCAGACACCACAGGAAGAGACCAGGCCAGGCCAGGCGTGGGAAAGGCCCAGTGGTCCATTTCCCATCCCTTGAGCCAGCCAGTCCCCTGTCATGGGGCTGGATGAGAGCCGGTGCCCCCTACAGGGGACAGGCCCCGGGCCTCTTTCCCTGTCCTCCAAGCCAGCCAGTCCCCTGCCATGGGGCTGGATCGGAGCTGACACCCCCAAGGGCTGAGTCTGTATGTTTCCCTCATGCCCTCCATCCCATTGGACCTCAAAGCACCCTCCAGCCCATGCTCACAGATGCAGCCACCTCTGGAGGAGGGGACATCCCCTCAAGTCCCCTGGCACCAGCTGCCCCCACCAGGTGCCACATGTCCAGCCCTGAGCTGGGAGCCCTGACACTCTTACACGTGGGGGAAGTGAGCATGGGGCTAGGGACACCAAGCCCCCCTCCCAAGAGCCAGGGCTGCCGCAGGGTTACTGGCCTCCACGGTCCCTGCCCAGGTCCAGTCAGGCCAGGGCCTGAGTGGGTCTGGGGACCTAACCAGCAGAGGCCTGTTTGCCATAGGCACCATTGCGGTGACACCCCCGTCACCCTATGAGCAGGCCAAGCAGCTGCCACCCCCAGGCTCCGAGGAACAGGAATCAGCTCCTCACTGGGCTGACAGGAGTTGGTTGGCTCCGCACACCTGCCCCATGTGCCCCACCCACCCACCGCAGCAAAGTCGTGATCGCGGCTCAGGTGCTGAAGTGGCTCAGGGCTCTTCCTGGGAGCACCGGCAGCCCACCAGCACTTCAGTTACAAGCGCAGCAACCTGCCCGGCTCCATACCGGCACCAACCTGCACCTGCTGCTCTGCACCTGACCCCCTGCTCCCCGGGCAGCCCCCTGCCCAGCCACCCCACCCCCCATCCCCCCTTCAATAGCAAGGAGCTTGTCCAGATGGGGGAGGCAGAATGGGGGGGGCACAGGGGAACCTGTGGGGTGGGCTGAGCTGGGGGGGTTCAGGGGAGCTGCTGGGCAGGGTGGGGCAGGCAAGAGGGATCCTGTGGGGTGGGCTGACAGGGGGGCAG